CAACTCGGCTAACTCTACTGCCGACATCCTATACGGCGCCATGGAAATAGGCCTCGTACCAGGAATAAGATCAATGCTAAACTCAACCTCTCTCTTCGGAGGCAACTCAGTAATATCATCCGCGAACACTTCCAGAAACTCATTCACCACAGCTAACTCATCCAACAACGCCTTATTGTCAACCGAAAGTAATGCAAATAAAGCAAACACCTGAGCTTCATCTTCCAACAAGGTCCTCAATTCCTTACCAGACAAGGAATCTGCCAACGCCTCTTCTTCTGGAGTCAAAAACAATAACACTTTCCGAAAAAAATCGATGTACACCCGGTTGAACTCCAACCAGTTCATACCAAGTATAACATCCAAACCACCAAGTGGCAAACAAATCAAATCCACTCCAAAATCTCGGCCAAAGATAGTCAGTGGACACTTCAAACACACTAGCGAAGTAGTCACTAAACCAATCGAGGGAGTCTCAATAGTCATCCGCCACTCAAGAGAAGTCGGCACCAAACCTAACCTCTTCACACAATCAACAGAGATAAACGAGTGGGTTGCACCCGTATCAATCATAGCAGTCAAAGGAATGTTATTAATAAAACAAGTACATTTGATCGAACGCTCCTCGTCCGCTGCTTGAGTTCCCACCACCGCAAACACTTTACCAGCAACCTGAGGCGCCTGAGGCCTCTTTGGCTTCTCACAATGAGTGCTAATATGGCCTTTCTCATCACAGTTATAGCAAGTAGGCATATTAGTCCTACAATCCGCCATCACATGGGCCGGCTTCCCACATTTGAAGCACTTCTTCGTCTCTGGAGAATAATCATTGGCACAATGACCCATGCCACCGCACCGGAAACACTTCGTACCAGCAGACGCCCTTCCCTCTCTAGGCTTCCTATCAACAGCACCCTTAAACTTCCCCTTACCAGTCGGAACACAGTAGGGAGTACCACCAAACCTTTGTTTACCCTTACGATCACTTGCAGCCTTGTAATGTGCAATCCTTGCACGATTATCATTATCGTAAATCCGAATTCTACTCACCAATTCAGGATAGCTTCTGATCTTCTGACATGCAATCCCCATCTTGATCTCTGGCCTCAGCCCATTCTCAAATTTCAAGCACTTAGAAGTCATCGCTTCCTCAGTATTGTAATGGGGACAATACTGAGCCAACTCCTCAAACTTAGCCGCATACTCGGCCACTAAAATACTGCCCTGTTTCAATTCCAAGAATTCCACCTCTTTAGAATTCCAGATCGAACCACTTCCCAAGTAATCGGAGTCCCCAAAGCCTCCATCCTCTGACGACAATTATCCCACCAAGCCTCGGCCTCTCCTTCGAGCATGTGAGTACCGAACCTCACCTTCTGCTTGTCATTGCACCCCATGGTCCTGAAGATCTTCTCTATTGCCTTCATCCATTTCTGAGCAGCTACCGGATCCAAAATCCCACCTTCAAACTTTGGTGGCTTGTTGCTCTAGAACTGCGTCAAGTCTCTGAACTGAGCACCCGCAGCCAGATTCTGATTGGCCACCGCTTGAGCCATAGCCTGCATAGTCGCAGCCAACGCCGCATCATTCCTCCCAGCCATACTGCTCAACAACCACAACAACAGGTTAATGGAAAACAACCAACTCTATCCTATAGACAAACTCAACACACTACACTGGTCGGACGGACCGACCTGCTCTGATACCAACTTGTAACACCCTGTTCCCCAAAACAAAATAAAACAATTAAAACAAACACATATCAGAGTTCCTCTCCCAAACGGGATGTCACAATTCACATCAGAATTCCACAAAACATTTTTTCCAAATTAATTTTCAATAAAGTTGCAGTGGAAAATGAATATAGTATGTCGTAACACAAAACAACATATATACATCAGCCATGTCATCAACATCGTCATATATACAACCATCGGCCATCTGCCCAAAAATATATAACATAATCATCAAACATTATCACATGTCTCGTAAAAGTCAGATACGCCACAGGGGCACACATATCAACAGAACAATAAAACTCCCAAAAAGCCCCAATGTTACGTATCAGAGCAGTCCTACGACGACGCCACAATCCAAGCTAGCTAAACACCTGGATTGTCTGCACTTCCGTAGAAGCACATACCACAACAACAACACAGGGGTGAGAATCACGATCAAATAATAATGGTATAATGGTACATGAAATAAAAGGCAGAAACAATAAATCATTATTTCACATACAACACATTTGGACCTACTGTCCCATCATCAATATCCATAATTCACACAAACCACAATGCAACACATGCACTTGACTCGACAATATGCGGTATCGACTCACAACAACGATGGGCACCGGACCATTAACCCTCCACAAAGAAGCACACATCAACGATGGGCACTTGGTCATCAACCCTCTACAAAGGAGCACACGCACCGATGGACACCTGGCCATCACCCTCCACACAGGGAGCACATCTCCGATGGTCACTGGGCCATCACCCTCCTCACAGGGAGCACATCTCCGATGGTCACTGGGCCATCACCCTCCTCACAGGGAGCACATCATCAACGTCCCCCACTTGGGACACGGGTGGCCGCATACACTCCATCCGAACAACGATCCAAATCCCGTCCACGCTCCCCACTGGAACACGTGAGTGTATCACACAACACGTCCACACGCTATGCAAGACACTGTGCATAAACACACAACACACACAGTGCACACGACCCCACTGGTCCATCGCATCATAATATGCATACATACACAAGCACACAAAGTGCATCGATCCTACCGATCAACTCACCACACAACATATTACATACAATGCACACAAGGCATGCCGGTCCTACTGACCCAAATATATCACACAACAGCATATAAATGCAACGCATAATCAGCGTATCGATCCTACCGGTCCACATATCTCACACACTTATCACATCGTGCACACCTCTTACAAATACATCCACACTTATCGAGACTTAATACATAATCCCCTGATTATGTCTAAGGCGATAAAAGCCGGCTACACAGCCCTACAACCTTCAACTTACACTCGCCTTAGCTCTCCATCAAGCTCATCATCGCACATGATCAATGGGGGTCCAATTCCACAAAGGAAACAACACAAAACAGCAGCAAAAACACAAGCTGTTGTCGGGCTCGCTGGCACGTTCGCCTGGCGAAGCCCCGCAGCGAACACTCGCTGCCATTCGCCTGGCGAAGCCAGACAGAAACTTCTGCCAGCACTCGCTGGCTAGTTCGCCTAGCAAAGCCTGGCGAAGGCTCGCCCCCTCATTCGCCCAGCGAATACCTGCGTACTCAGAAAAATTCCACGCAGCAGGAACAACAACCATCCCCGATTTCTCCCGATTAAATCGAAACTCACAACCAACAACATATTACCACTTAGTACGAGGTCTATTCCCGATTCTATCCAACAAATTGTCAACTCTGCTCTAGTAACCAACTTCTGGCTCAACTTCGAAATTTCCCGGAAGGCTCCCAATTCACTCAACCATCATTCTACAGCACATGCATACGAAATTAACATGATCTAGCACACAATCTCAGCAACAATAACATGCATTCAACATCAAACTAGCGATAATTTATGGGGATTAGGGATTTTCCCCTTTTCTACCAATTCTCATGTAAAACCATTTAACCGTTAAATTCTCGCCCCTTACCTCGAATGTAGTCGGATGATGATGAGTTTCCCGAATCTTCAACCTTGATGCCTCTTTGCTCAAGCTCTCTTAATCGTTCACTTCTTCCTCCTTCCGTGTTCGTACACTCCTTCCTTCCTTCCACGCTCGTGTTCTCTTTCTCCTTTCTTTCCACTTTTTCAAAATGCCAAACTTGCCTTCATTATCCCCAAAATTCCCTTATATTCCAAATAAATAATTAATTCTCATAATTTTCTTTAATTTAAAAATTAATATTCTTGTTCCAATAATATTACTTAATATGATTATAATAACAATAATATTAATATTAGTAACACCGTATTAATTATTATATTATTATCATTATTAATCATATTTTCGAATATTGTGGAATTAACTCCTCAACCAAAAATCCATGTAAGCACGCCAAAAATGAAAATAACACCGAAATTGAAAATAATTAAAAATGGGCGTTACAATTATCATTTTCATTTGCGTTATCTCCACCATAGCTCTCTACAACATCTCTAATAGATCAATGACTTAATTTAGATATGATTTTCCCATATGTTCCTTTTTGTCTCACTAAAAACAAAGACAAAAAATTTATAAAAAAAATTTGCTTACAAATTAAAAAAAAACAAAAAAAAAACAATAATAATAATCATCGGTGTCACCCATCAAAAGTACTGAATTTTAAAAACACCAAGTCACCCAAGTATTAAGTATTTCCGACGAATTTAAAAAATAAAAATATAAATCATAGAATTTACATCACATATTTAAAAAAACGATATTCAATTACACGGCACTTCTAGAAAAATGCGATGGAAACTTAAAAACCCAATAAAAATGTATTAAAAAAACCAAATATGATATAACATAATTTTAAAAGTAAAAGTACAATTTTCAAGTTGAGGGGTTGTGTATAGTTTTCACTGGCTTTAATCTCTTGTTGTATTCTAAATCGATAAGACCTAATCTAATCAATTTGAATTAAACTATTCTCGCTCATTCCTCCCATAAGCACTTAAACCACTAAATTGATAGATATACACAAGTAGATATACTCCAGATAGCCAACTAACTCAAAATGAACCGACATGCATTATCAACGTTATAGAGAGGTTGAATTTTAGATATGGACCTAAAACAATCTTGAAAGACAAATGTAACCCATGATTGGACGAAAACACCATTATGATAACTAAAAATACATAAGGAAGTCTTGCTAGTTCATCTGGAATATTTATAACGAACTATTACAATACAAAAGAAGAAAGAAAAAAAGATTATTAAAAGCAAAATATCCAGAGAGTAGCCATTTAGAAAATCCCAGTGAGAAGATTTGCAGCAGTGGAGATTGCAGCTCCTGTGATAGCACATTGAACAACATGTTCATGAGTGGAGTCTTCCGTGGTAAGTGCAAGGGTGGCCCCAGTGATTGCTCCAGCAACTGCACTGTTTTTCTGTATCAAACAAAATAAATGATGTTATTGTGTGGAATACCAGAAGGCATTGCTTCAATTTAGAACCATGAGGATGAGACAGAGATAAATCATAATCATACAACACTGTGATATGAGTTTGAGCACAACAAAAATGGTAAAGAAAGTAGAGAAAGATCTCAATTTTATTATTAAAATATGAGCTGAAAAGAGACAAAATTATTACTAAATATGGCCCACAAGAAGGGACCATGTAATTGACAAGATCAAAATGGAGAATGTTTCATCGATATCCCATGTAATTGACAAGATCAAAATGGAGAATGTTTCATCGATATCCCATGTAATTGACAAGATCAAAATGGAGAATGTTTCATCGATATCCCATTTTATCCATCCACCATTAAATGCCACTCTGTCTCTCAAAACATCAAAATATCCCAAAAGCTGCATTTACATAAGAGTGAAATTGTTCTGCCACACATCCATTAAATTCATATATGAAATGTTTGTGTAGAGCTAAAGATCATGATAACATGTTAAATGGAAACCATTTAATAAACCCAGAAGAAAAAAGGCATTACCCAGTCATGAGCTCCACGAGCTTCCTTCAGCCCATATGTTAGACCTGAGTACAATCCTGCAGCCACTCCTGTAATTCAAAAAAAAATCTACAAGGTTCAACTTCATGTTCACCATAGCAAAAACTATTTTGTCTCTGGAAATGTTTATTATTTCCAGTTTCATAATCATCAGATAATAAGCACTTTATAATTTAGAATAAACACAAACAAGAGCAATTAGAGAAAGAAAATTCTTAGAATTATTGTTCTGCCTAACATAACTTTTAAAAACTGAAAAAAGATTATCCCCTCTTGTAAATATTTTCAGAGCATATTTTATTAGAAGCAAGACTGCTAACAAAAATGAGACAGTAAAACCACTAAAAGTTACTATTAATCATTGGAAAATCGACAAAACTGAAGCATACATGTGTTAACTTGTGCTCCAAAGGGACACGTTAAGAAAACCACTTTTAATAAATTTGTATTGGAAAAAACAATTTAAAAGTTAATTTTATACTTTAATTAAAATTTGTACACAAAAAGAAATATTTCAATACCCCATTGTAAGGACTCTTTCCCAGCGCTAATCACCTGATGATCAAAAAAAAAAGCAACAGAATTAATATGATATATGACTCACCTTAATTGTATTTGTGGCATTATATCAAACGTGTGAAGTTCACTTTTTCACCACTATATAATGCTTAATTTAGAGGGAAAAGTGTAACAAACTCACCATATCCTCAAGAGATTTGCTACTGGTCTCTCCTAAATACAAAAAAGTAATAAATTATGTTAATACTTTTCCAATTTATATATAACCTAAATTCACACAATATTCCATTCAACACTCTATTAATTATTCAAGGTCAAAATTTACATAAACCCTAACAAATGTGTGTGGCATGGATCAGTACCTCTAAGTCCCGGCAAACGGCGTCTTCCGGTGGCTGAACCATCTGAAGAAGCTTTAACGCCATTGTTATCGGTCCTGGTACCTAAAAATTAACACATTATAATAGTAACAATGAAGCAAGTTAGTTAGATATAATAGAAATTATAAAATGAATTAAGATGAGAAAGTGTTATGAAACCATCGATGGCTGAGAAATAAGCATCACGAGAAACGGCTTGAACGGCTCCGATTCCGGCGGCTTTGACGAAGCTTTCAGCGATGCGGTTAACCAGAGGATGGCCGAGATCAAATAGTCCTTTTCTGTCGAAGTTGCAAAGGTCATCAAGCATAGCGCGAGTTTCCACCTCACTGCTCGTGTTCAAGTTCATCGTGTTTGATTTGATTCGATTCTATGCGAGAAATGCAATTGGATTCCTGTTTTTGAAGATAGAATAATGGAGAGGAATATAAAGCAAGTTATTATTTGGTTAGCATAAGAGAGAAAGAAGAAACGGAATTTGAGAGTGGTGGTGGTGTAGTGGGTTGGAGGACACGTGTGTACACGTGGCTCTTTTTTAAATAAATAGAACGCGGAGTTGCTGGATACCCATTTGCAACATTTTTCACACTCCATTTTTTATTGCCAAGGTTAACACGGTGAAGTTTAATCATGTAAAGACATGAGAAACAAATAATTACATTTATGCATACATATATTTTTTAACTACATACTCCAAAATTTATGACAAATATTTTTATATATTATTTTTTTCGAATACATAAGGGGTATTCGTCAAAAGACATATACAACAAGAGAGGTAAGATATTTTTCTCCAACTCCACACTAACTTAAAACTCTAAAAGATTTATGGTGAAAGCTAAAAAATTGGGGTTAAGAAAAAAGAAATATCACTTAAAAGCAACTATTTCCAAATCAGAATTTTAATTTTTCAATAAATATTATCAAAGTTAATAGACTTATTTTTAAAGATGAAGTTGTTTCTAGCCTAAAATTTTTCAATAAATATTATTAAAGTTAATAGACTTATTTCTAAAGATGAAGTTGTTTCTAGCCCTCCACAAGCACCAATTGATTTGCAATGTGTATAAAAGGTTAAAATGTTATATGTTAAGACAAGCTCTAGTTCAAACAAAATAACATTATAATATAATATATGTATATAAACATTAATTAAGTTGCTAAAATTATTAGAAATTTATAATTAATAATTTTCTAAATTTATATGTAATTAATTAAGTTGTTAAAATTATTACAAATTTATAATTAATAATTTTCTAAATTTATTTATACCTTAATCTCTTATTAGTGATTTTTTAAAAGTATTTATAATAATTGATATGAATTACCCATCAAACATTATAAAATTTGTATTTTATTTTAATAAAACAAATAGAAATTCATTTATTGTAATGGTTCCATTTGGGAATTAGAATTGGATGTTTCAGTTTCTCAAATGAACCATAAATGATGAGAGATGAATAACTGTTGATCTTCAACAATGACTTTGATCTCCTTTACGATGACGCAGGAAGAACATATATGGTTAACACTCAAATGTTCAAGTCAGTTCAAGATTCAAGATGATTAAAGTGAAATTGGAGATCATAATTTATGTACATTCTCATAGTGTGTGAATTGTTTTTATATATTGGATCGAGTAGGGTGAGCTTGAGATAAATTGGGTTTTGGCCGATCAAAGATCAGTTGCCCCCAAGGCTTTGTTGGGCATTGAAGAAGTCGAAGAAAACCTTAAGTATCATTGATTGACCTCTATGTCGTAGTCCGGTGTGGAATATATATGAATTGCTTGGGATCAGTTCTTTAAAGAAGTAATTTGGAACATGCACATTTACTACAGTATCATCAATGAAATGCTTCGCTACCCATTCTTGACACGTGCAGTGACGTGACCAGTTAAGGTACGGTGCAATTTAGATAGTACTTATGAGAACTCGAGTTAGCCTATATCCATGAGTGGAAATATATCGTTGATCTTGTGTCCTCTGTTCTTAGTTGGTCTTGATCTTTCAGTTGTTGTTGCTTATAAATAGGATAAGTTGAATATTTGGAAGTTTTTGTAACCTTTTAGCTTTCACGCTTTCAGTTACTTTACAGAAAACACGTCTTTGTTTCCTTTTTCGTGAGAACGTCACTAGAAGTGATTCACAATTATGCTTAAACTTTTTCGTCGTTCATTCCTCTTGCGTCATCGATCTTCTATAACCAAGTACCCTTCTAACTCATGTTTTTCCTTCAGCATTCCCTGTTTTCGTAGTTATGGTGAGTGATAACAATGTCGATTTAGTGAGTGATTGAAAGGTTGAAACCTCATCTAGGATATCCCTTGATTCTCTCCACCCTATGTTGTTCAATGTCTCTTTCTAACACTACCCGATGACTTTCTATTTAGAGTCTCTCCTTAAACATGAGAACCTACTCACTTTCTTCTCTGTCACACAACCCGTGACAGGGGAAAACAATTACTAAACCCTAGTGATCAACTTCAATCTTAACAAGATGAAAGAATGTTGAATATTGGAACTTAACTAGACAAACTTTTTATGCCAAGTTACTGAAACATAGAGGTGTACATAACAATGTTAAATTTACAACAACTAGACAAACCTTTTATGTCAAGTTACTGAAACGTAGAGGTGTACATAAAGATAACAAGGAATCTTGTAAAAGCTCTCCAAAATATTCAATGTGAATATTTTCTTTCCAATGTATGTTTGAGCTCCTCATATAGCAAAATAACCCTGGGCTTTTTCCTTGTGGATCTGTTGTTATTTTCGTCTAAAATATTTGCATAATCTGTTGGATATTTAATTTTCTTCTTGAATATCTCCAACGAAAAGATATGATTTGATTTATTACAAATTCAAATTTAAATCTCTTTTAAATTTGATTTGATTTGTGCAGTTGTCCAAAAAATCATATAATCATATTGCTAAACCATTAGCAATAAAACATAACTGAATCTTCTTAAAAGATTTTGTTAAAACGCAACAATCTTGCGCATGTTGCACAAGGCTCAAATGTTGTACCAACATGATAGAGCATCACACCTAACACGTGTCCCTTTTGCATTTTCATATAGCTTTAGCAAGCTAGACCAATCTTGAACACTTGAACACTTCTCCAAGATGTTGTTTTGCTAAATGCAGTCAATCCAAAGGACCCATCCACTAGGAACAACACTTTTGTTCCTTAGAAAGCAGCCGAACAAAAAAAATTACCACCACCGTCATAATCGTCAAAAATATAGGCAACTAGCCTAGAACCCCACACTTAGCCTAAAAACCCTCATCTCGAGTACATATCTGGAAGAAGGATGCGAACAACGAGATATGGAGTTGGCTAATTCAGACAAGCTTGCAATAACAGAAAATGAAATGGAACAAATAAAATGAAAGATAAATTTTTTTAATAGTTGAAACCATAAAGTATCCATTGGACTCCCTCATGGTTTTTGAAAAACCTCAACGCATTTTCTGAATTTTCCACTAGTGTTTATGGTCTCAAAAAACAAGGCATTGTTGCTTACATTAAATGAAAGTAAGTGTAACAAACTAAGTGATTGATTGACATTCTCAGCTAACATTTTTACCTAATCGGGAGATATATGGGCAGATAAATGATCCCTCAATTAAGGGCTTGTACAAATAAAAAGTCACCTTCAACTGAGAGAATCTCCCAAAGCTGAAGGACTCTCCCTTTAATAAATATTCGCCTTCAGCTGAGGGACTCACCTAAAACTGCGAGACTCGCCCCTTTTTAGTAAATGGATGCCACCGGCCCAGGGACTCACTGGTAGGGTGAAGGGTGCATTTCAAACAAAAAATGGTCATAAAAACACTTCATAATTAGCAAAGCTCTCGTGCTTGAGGAACTACGTAGTGATATATTTGGGAGGGTCCTAAACGAGGGTGTCCTTTCCCAAAAGATGTATTGCTCAGTTGATAACTTAAGTAATCGCCTTGGGCATTGATTATGTATAATGTTGTTAGCCAAAGGAGATCAAAGTCCTCCATTATCCTCTAAAGGATATGTGGTAAGTAAATATTGAGGGGAGGAGGGACAAATCACTACACCCTAAAGTATATCGCTTACCCAGATCATAACTCATATTGATCATGCCCCTAATCAGTTTATACCTATGCATATCATCTATCCAGAGTCTCTCACCTTACGTGAGTCTGACTTCTAATACCACCATAAAGTATTGTCATACGAGGCTTCTCGCCACTATGAGTAAGCTCTAACCACCATACAACATACTATACCTATTAAGGTCTATGTGTCTCCGCGCCCTTGTAGAAGAAGCACGTGCACTTGTATTTTTTTACCAGTACAAACAAACACATACAAACATATGTATGCTTCATTCCAGCCAAAGACCTAGGACTTAACGCCCCACGCCAACCAATGGTCAATGACACAAGGCCCATTATCTAACCTGCTACACCAAACCTAATGTATAAATACCTTCACAAAGGGTTTCAGGGACACACTTTCGAATCTCCACTTACATTACAGTTATCAAACCCTAAACTGACTTGGGTGTAGGAGTGATAACCATTCAAGTACGCCCCCCCCTGAACCACCGAATCGGAGATTAGTAACGCATATTCAAGATCGACATTGATTCAAGATCAATGCTTACACCCTTGTACGTAACATGTATGTTAAAAACGGTTGGCGTTGTTGGTTCCTGTAACAGTATTTACTATACTATTTACAATTGGTTAACTTGTTTTGGCTAGTTGTGCAGAAAGAAATGGCTAGAAGGAATGATTGTGCGACTGTTGATGCTCTTGAGGCGATGGCTCATGCGATGGCACAAGCGAATGAAGTGTAGCATGCTAATCAGAAATCAGAATGATGGAGTTGATGGGTTACGTGGGATGGGAAAGTTCTAGAAGAATAACCCACCTGCTTTTTCAAGGGAATGTATGATCCTAAAGGTGCTCAGACTTGGCTTTAGGAGATTGAGAAGATTTTACGTGCACTGATGCACATAAGGTGTTGTTTGAATTGCATACGTTGTCTGAGGAAAACGAGTATTGGTGAGAAAGTAACTGTTAGAGGGTGGAAGCTACTAATGTGGAAAACACTTGGGCTAATTTCAAGAATGAGTTTTTGAACAGTATTTTCCAACTGATGTTCGTGGCCGCAGAGAGATAGAGTTCTTGGAACTGAAGCAGTGCAATATAATTGTGGTTGATTATACAGCTAAGTTTAAGGAGTTGTTAAGATTTTGTCATCACTATAATAATGTTGAAGTTAAGGGTTCTAAGTGTGTGAAGTTTGAGAGTGACTTACTTCTTGAGATCAAGCAATTCATAGGTTGTCAGAAGATCCTTC